GCAGAAAGGGTTTAGCTTTTTTATTTTATTTTTATTTTATTTTTTTTTCATTTGTGCCAAACGTGTTAATGCTGCTGCTGTCAGAAACCAAGCAGGCTGCAGGTCAGTAAAAACTGCTCTGGTTTGCTTGTTTGAGCTGCTCATTCCTGCGGTGTGCGCGCAGGAAACGCGCGCTGTTGCGGATCGATGGCGCAGCAGCTGCGCCTTTTTCTCTGCGCAAGACTTYACCCCGCTTCTCCTCCAGCTGAACCCTGAACTGGGAGATTATGGGATGTGTGTTGGAGAGGGCTGGGATTCTTTTTGGGACCTCCGACTCCCAGAAGATGCTGAGGCCTCCTTGTTAACATTTTATTTATTTCTTATATAAAAATCTTTAAAACTTTTGCCTAAATCGACCCAAAAAGATTGAGGCACGTTTTGAAGAAAACTGAGAATTAATATTTGGTGTTTTCCTGAGAAGCTCACCGCTTTGGCATTGTTTGTGAAGGTCTCTGGGTGCTAGTGAGATGCTGACATGGACCACGCGCCCTCCATCCTCCACACGGAGAACGCGTAACTGAGTCTCTCGTGCGCCACGTAGCTGCAGCTGGACATCTTGTTGTCCATCTCGTCGCTCTGCAGCACCTGACACAGGAAGTCTATGTACCTGGAGGCCAGCTTCAGAGTCTGGATCTTGCTGAGTTTGTCCGACGGCAGCGTGGGGATGATTTTGCGCAAAGACGCGAAGGCCTCGTTCAGGGACTGGGTCCGCTGCCGCTCCCGGACGTTGGCCAGGACCCGCTGGTTCTGCAGCTCCTCGTAGGACTGCGCGCCGCTCGGGCTGGGCTTCTTGCCCCGCTTCCCGGCGGCCGGGCTGCTCCCGCCGCTGTCCTCCCCGCCGGACCTCTTGCTGCTGTGCCTCCTCTTCCTGGAGAAGCGCTGCTTGTGCTGCTGCCGCTCCAGCTCCTCCTCGCTCGTCACCAGACTATCCACAGGGGAGACCGGGGAACTGGAGCCCTCTTCCATTTCTTTCTTGAAGAAATGCAGGGATAGAGAGGAGAAAACGGTGTCCACCGTGGAAGCCGTGGTTCCAGCAGATGATAGATCCTTTCAGACGAGGAGACGGACTTTTTCTCGGCTCTTGTTTGGAGAAACTGAGCTCGCGCTTGGTTGGCACGCGTCTCCTCTCCCAGAATACTTTTTTTAAAGTTTCTTTCCCTGTAAGAAAAAAAATGGAAACTTTATCTCAGCTTCAGATGCTAAATAGTTTGAAGAGTGGAAAGGGAGGGGTTTGGTGGGCGGAGGGTMGCGCTGCGCTCCTCTAAAAAGCAGGAGGCGCGTTTTTACTCACAAGTTTTCTTTTTTTTTTTTTTACTTTTTTTCCCTCTGCAAACTATTTATGTGCTTTACATTTTATTCTAAATTTGCAAACAGAACATATTGCATTAATGAAGGATGTTTGTTTCTGATAATATTTTAAAGTTTGTTTAAGTTTCCAATGTCTTGGCAGCTTTTAGCTGCAGCATAAAATCCATTTGTTAGCGCAGCTTTGCGCCACACCGGAGTCATTTTGCGCGTAAATGATTGGACTTGGGCTTATTTTTGAAACCCAGATTTGAAGGATCCGCTTGATCCTTCGTCACATCAGGTCTGTGA